CTTTGAGTTTGAGTTTAATTAAGAACCTTAATTTCTAATATATTTGATATGCAGAAAATTTATTTATTTATGTTCTCTCTATATTTGAAATGTTGGTATAATGAAATTATTATAAATTGTAGTAGTCTTGAGTGGTTAAATATGAACAATTATAAAAATTATAAAGAGTTAAATGAAAATAATTTAAAGTTTTATATGATAATTATAATATTTTAAAAATTTTGAAAGTAAAAAAACATTATATGTACTAAAGATTGGACAAAAAGTAAAGATGATGACAATCTAGCCGAGGCCACAAAATTATTGCCCCACATTTTTCAATAGTATGCATAGGAACAACATATAAAAAAAGAAAAGAAACACAGCAATTGAATATATATATATATATATATGAATATTGTGATTCAAAAATTTTGATCATGATTTTAAGATATTTTTTTCTTTATCCTTTTATCACAGTGAACTGATTGCCAACCAGAACAAGCGAATTAAGTCTACCTGGCTTGCCCTGTACCAAAGGTATGTTGAGAACATGAATTCTATAAAATGCGCAAACGTTAATTAAGACTCTGAAATGTTTGTTGTTGAGTTGTGTCCTTGAAGTTGTCCAAGTCTTAATGTTAGCTGTTGTGAGTTGTTTGTGTCTGTATTAGCTGTTTTATGTTTATTTTTGTTGAACGATCTTGACTACTAAGGCTGTTTCTTTAATGAATAAAGAACATCATTTCCCTGTACCCGTTTTCACACGTCCCATCCTGTGTTGTGTGTTCCTTTAATTGTGCATTTTTTCTTCCATCCTTCATCGTGCATACCAATTATTTGTTAAAAGTCCTAAGTGAGTGTCCTGTTTCTCCTCTGTTTTACCCTCTTTGCTTTTCTTTAAATTCCCTGCATCAGAAAACTAGCTACAGAACCACTAAAAGTTTCAAGCTGACATCTTAGAGATATGAAACAAGCCATCTGTGGCAACTTGATTAGAAAGCCCTGAAAGGCCTAACAACTCTGAGTTAAGTTGGCAACCTTAACTCATGTTTATTTACTCAAAATTACACAAATTGCCCAATAAGGAATTGGGGCAGACTAGAGTTAATTAGCCACAAGATTTATAATCCAATTTAAAGAAGTTTCGGGATTTCTGTCTCAGGAGTCAATTAACTTCAATCTTTGTTAGATGGACTCTTCATTGTGCTCTAACGAACTCAAATCTGATACTTCTTGAACATTTAAACTCTGCATGAGCTTGAGGACATGATTCTTGGACCTTTCAGAATGAAGGGAAAACTTGAAAGCAAATAAATTTGGAGCACCTATATATATTGAAGAAGTTTCTCTATCTGATCTGATGATCATCTTCCTGTATCCGGATCCTTCTCTGCAATATGGCATTAGGAATGGTGGTGAAGACCTAAAAAGGATTATGCTGCTGACAATATAATTTCGTTGAATTAATAACTTCCCTTGAGGAACAGATTCTGCTTAGCTGTGACCATTTGCAGTATCGGATCCTGTTTGAAAGAAAACTATTAATGAAATTATCCCACTGGAACTGGATTAGTTTCGAAATGAACATTATTGAGCCCAATGATCCTGGAATCCAACATGCTGAAGAAACCAAGATTGCTGGAAAAAAATGTGGTCCAGAAAAATAGAATGATATTCTGAGTTTATTGACAGTAATTTTATTCAAAGAGATATTATTGACAGTGATTGCGAAATAAAGGTTCTCCCATTCATGATTTTGATCTTTGGAAGAAATTGGAGCAGGGGCAGAGCATGAAACAAAAGACAAGTCAAGTTTGCAATGCCTTCTCATCCTTGATTTATATAATGTAAATGCACAAATAGAAACACAGAATTGGACAGACCAAGTAATTTATATACAATTCTGATCATCCTTCGCATTTTGCTTAAAATCCTAGGAATCGAGGGATTGATTACTGCATTCCCTGCTATTGAACAATGACATTGGAGAAGCATGCTCTCCTTGCATATTATGCCAATGCCAAGTACAGACATTCTAAACCCCAAAAAAGGTTCAGAAAATGTTGCAGGAGCGACACAGATTGAATAAATACTCATGTACAACGTCAAACTTGGAAAGAAGCAAGAGGAATTTTAATCATGAAAGAAATTGGTCATATAGAAAACAAGCACTGAACAAAGTAAATTAAAGGAATTAAGACAAACGAACAGGCATGGGGCCAAATAAACAACGAAGCAGTAAATTTTATTTGAATCAATATCCTCCCCAGCCATACTATTTCTCTATCTATTTCTGCTTCGCTAAGGCAACATCTCAATACACAGGACCATCATCTGCATCTAAGAAATATATCCCCAGCAGAGCATCAGAAGATGTTGATCTTGTAGGTTTTGCTCCATCATCAACTCATTCTCAGCCCAACCATGAGCAAGCTCCGACTCAAATCTTTCCGCGGCAGCTTCCATTTTTGCTGTTTCTGCCATTAGCTGTTGTTGCATTTGATCTGTTTCTTCTCTCTTCTCCTTAACTGCCGCCTTCATCCTCTTGAATTCTTCCTTTGCTTTCTGTTTTCATTCAACAATCTATTTCAGTAGCTCATTCGAATATTTTCTTAATTTATCAACCAGTAATAACCAAACCTCAACAAACCAACCAGTTGCATACGTTATAATTAAATAAATATAGCTACCTGAAGGCGTGATAGTTTTCGTTTTTTCCCAACGCTGGAGCAGCTTCCCCTTGCCTCAGCTAACATAGTTTCTGCTCCCTTCTTTTCTGCATCCCAGTAACAACTAATTAATTAAGGCATCTTCAGCCAAGTCTCATCACTGTACCTTTTTTCTCTATGATGTTTTCCTAACGCATCTTAATCTTTTGTGATTCTTAACTGACCATATTATATTATTAGTCTCCTGTTCTGCAGTGTTACAGGGTGGGACCCTCATCTAATAATAATATATGTTATGTAACTTGGTAAGCGATTAATTGTACAACATTATTTATTTATTTATTTTTTGATAAGAGTAATGGTTAAAAAGTTAGTATGAGTTAGTCGTTAGTAACTACTCTCATCTAATAATAATATATGTTACGTAACTTGGTAAGTGATTAATTGTATAACATTTTTTATTTATTTATTTATTTATTTTTTTACAAGGATAATGATTAGGAAGTTAGTATGAGTTAGTTGTTAACAACTGAGATCCCAGATCAGACGAACATTTTACCCCTCAAATGAAACGCGTAGCCATCAGATCACTTTTTGGTAGAGTTCACGACGATAATAGAACTCAAAGTTCTGACCACCGTCTCACCCAAACACTAAGGCTTGGGGTCGAACTATTGAGCCTAAAAGTTCGGTTTAATTTTTTCTTTATTTATTATGTGCACTCGTGTGCATGGTCAAGTTAGGCTTTGCTTTCATTCCAGTTGGATAACTTTTTTTAATGGGACATCCAGTTGGAAACTTGAATCTAGAAACAGGACAAATTATATATACGGAGAAAGAGTACATTTTATGAAATACTAAATTCAGAACCTAAATAATCAAATATATATATATATGTACACACAAAAAAAAATTTTATAAGATAAATTATGTATTAAAAATATAATTTTTTTAATAAATTTATTAAAAATATTATAATTTTATTTAAAATATTTTAATAAAATTATAAATCAAATTATATTTTTAATATATAATTTAAATTATGAAACATAAATTGATAAACGTGTGTCTATACGCCCAAAAAATAGTTTGCAGCTTCAAAAGTCAAAAGCAACTTTCAATTTCAGTTTCTAAAGCATGGAAGTTACAAATGTTTCCTTAAAACTAAATTGATTTGTTTAAAATCAATCAAATGTAAAACCAGTAGATAATTGCACCCTACGTTTGGGAGAAAAAAAAAGGGGGGGGGGATAAAAATCTCATCAGAGGTGTGAAATCAAACATGATGAAAACTGATACGTGTCAACAAGAAAAATGAAAAAGAATCTTACCGATGCTAATGTGGTGGGCATTAGCGTCAGGGGAGGGAGATATCTGGTCAGAATTCCCGCGACCAGGGACAGCAGACGGCAAGACCATTGATCGAGGCAGCGGAGGTAGGTGAACAACGGGTTTCTCTCCTCCCGGAACAGACGCATATGAACTGTTAGCAGATCATAGAATCGATGTCAGATAATCAGATTTGAAGAAACAGTAAATTTTGTCGTCAAAGGAATTCTGGGAACAAATATTTGGTTTATTGCAAGTGGTCGGTTTTAGCAAATTTATATTTGTGGGTCTTGACTCATGGATTTCATTTTCTCAAGGAAAAAAGCTCCGGTGAAAAACAGAGCAATA